AGTATGTTACTTCGCACTTATTGCCATGCAGACAACTAAAGGAGGTACAGATGCCAGGAAAATCCTTTAGTATTTGCTTTCTCTGCTCAGTTGAAATAGTCGTATTCATTGCTGAAGAAAAATCTGGTCATGCTCAGTGTGTAACAAATTATAAAAAATTAAAGTACCAGAAAATGTTTTGTGTTACAGAAGATGAAAATATGAATGTGCAGAAATTCTGCTAAATTATTTTGCTTCATACAGTGCATGTTGTATGACAATCACCTTGGACTATAGCAAATACCTTAGTTGCTGGGCCATCTAATTAATATAATGTTGTGAAGGAGTACAAAGGCCATATAGCACTATGGTAAAGTATTGTGTCTGAAAGGGTAAAGAGGAGTTAAAGATTAGGCTAAAATGTGTTAGATGTCAAAGATTAGAGAGCATTATAGGATAGTATGGTAGTGAAAAGGGAAAAGAAGGGAGTAGGTGAACTAGAGCAGATATTAGTTGAAAGGAGGGGGGTTAAGGGGAGCTTAGGGAGATTGAGTGAATTACAGTGTATCTGTGACTCTGGAAGGTATAGGAACAATGTTCAAGGAAAACAGATGTGACTGTTGGAAAAGTAGAAGAATCTGGGGAGAGGGGGGGGGGTGGAAGATGTCACAGATTATATTGTGTTACAGGAAAGTATGGTAATGAAAAGGGAAAAATGACAAGTAAATGAAGTAGAGCAGGGATTAGTAACATGGGAAAGGTTAAGGGGGTAGAGCGATTGAGTGAATTGCATTGTATCTGTGACTGGGGAAGGAATAGGGACATTGTTCAAGGAAAACAGGGGTGGCTGTTGGAGAAGTAGGGGAAGAATCCAGAGGATGAGAAAGGGTGCCTGGTGATGAAGTATCAGGAAGAATGTCTGGAAGGGAGGGGTCTGGAGAAGGACATTGCTGTGATAGAGGAGATTTGTATGAGTATTCAAGTGGGAGTGGTAGAGAGGGTGGGATATGTTCGGAGGGTGTAGGAGGAAGGGGGGTAGAGCAAACTTGAGGAGGAGGATGGATATCCACAAATACTTTAAATGTAGAAGGAGTAGGAACAGAGGGATTGGGAAGTGGATGAGGGAATGGAATGTTCCCTTGGATCTTCTTTAGGAGGTTTTGGATGTCTAAGGGTTTGTGGAGGGGAGTTGGGTGAAGAGGACTGAGGCACAAAGGTTCTCTCATGAGGAGGAGAAGAGTAACTAGGTATCTGAGGAGCAGAAGAGGAGGAAGGTGTAGGAGAGGGTGGAGTGGAACGTTTAGGTTGCCTGGTGCTACAAATAAAGTGAGGAGGGGAGGTAGGTATCGGGGAAGTGGTAGAGATTGGAGTATCTGGATTTACACTGGAAAACAAATTTGACTGGAGGATAGGGTGATTAGACCTAGGATGGTTTAGGGTATAGGGAAGAGATACTGGGACAGATGCAGAAACATCTTATGAAGATGGTGGGGGAGCAGAGCGAAGGACTGTTTTGGAATAAGTTGAGAGAAAAACCTTGTGATGCTTCTTATTTGGCCTCATGTAGAGTGAGGCCTAGTAAGAATCTGAGGACTGCAACCTCACATTTAAGCTTATAGGCAGCTCCTAAAAAATACATTATGGGAGTCTCCACAATTGCCACATGTACATGACTGATCAGGCCAATTTGAATGGTCATGACCAGGTTGAGCACACACGGCAGCAGGCTGTGGAGCGACAATGTTTGGCTGGGAGGCCAAAACACCATTTCTGACATTGACGAGAAAGGGATCAGTATGGTAGGACAATCCACCAATGTAAACTTCATGGGGTAGGGCATGTCTGTGGGTGCTAATCCTGGCAATATTGACATGGAACTTAGGCCAGCCCCTGGGAGGAATAGTGTAACACTGTACTGCCATTACATCATAGTCAGCAAGGCAGTTAAGTAGGTAATTTAATTTTCACTGTCTGACCAGTCCTTGTAGATAAGGACCAGCATTTGGGGGGATAGAAACAGTTCCAGTACAAGTATTAAGAGAGGGGTAAGGTTTGGCAGGAAAAGGTTTGCCAATCAGGTCAGTTAGGGTAGCACGAGCTTGGGATTCACATGGAACTAGGACAAGGCTTAAACAATTGGAGGGACTGCAAAAGGTAACCTTGCCTACTTGTTTCTGGAAGCACTGCTGAAAGAGAAGGGCATTCTTAGAATAGGGGGCTGTGGATGGGAATCACAAAGAATCAATCCCACTTGGCTGGACCAAAGAGAGTACTCAAAAGGTTTGCAGAAGTAGAGGTAGTAGAAGGACGGGGACAAGAGGAAGATGGAGTGGTGTGGAGTGGAGTAGTTCTGTGAGGGGGGGGACAATAAGGATGAAGAGTGGTAATAAGGAAAGAGGGGGTAGACATTAGAGAGGACTGTGCAGTAGGAGATGGAGAGGAGAATGTTGGGAGAGAATGAGTGCTTTCTGGAGGTTGAGTAAGCGTTGAGGAGGGGTTATTAGTATCAGTAGTCGGAACCAAGTTCAAAGGAGGGGCAGGGGTCGGAAAAACATGAAAATCAAATTTAGATAGGCTATTTAATGAAGGGGTAAGCCTTAATGCCCCTATTAAAGGTAAAGAATCTTCATTATTGGCCATGGTGAGCCTGAATAAAATGGGGAAGAGAAACTGTCAACCCCTCAGGGTCCCCATAATGGGTAAGGTCTAGACAATTAAGCAAGGAAATACCATGCCTATGCCTCCCAAAAGGTGTTTATGACTGACTCAAACTCAGCCTTTCATCCTTTTAGCATGGCTCTCACACCTTAGTAATGGGATTGAAGAAGGGGGTGAAGAAGATATGGAAGAGGAAAGAATAGAAAAAAAGACCAAAACAAAATTAATTGAGGCAAGGGCTTAGGCCCAAGGTAGGGGTGATCCCATGACAACAAAGAGCAAGGTATTGGGAGGGATGAAGGAGTATAAATTAATGACATTTCTTAAAATCAAATTATATCACAGTTTATTTGACTAACAATCACATATTCATATAAGTATGCATATTTGCTTCTTTTGATAGTTATGATACTTCAAAATCTTTAGATTAGTACCATCAGTAATAAAATATTAAGATATTCTAAGGATATTTGATTTATATAAAACTGAAAAAAATATTTAATCACCAGAATCAGATTTTAAACTATACAGTCCCAGTAAAGGTGCTCTTCAATACATATATAATTGATTTAAAAGGTTATGAGCTTGCCATTGTAAATCAATTGCATACAACCACTGGAAAAAATCTTACATGTTAGTGTGTACTTTCATATACTTAAAAAATTCTTTCTTGCCTTCTTTATCCAATAACACTCTTAATCTTACAATGAAAAATGCCTTAGTGAAGGCCTTAAAGTTTTTACAGGAAAATAGACATGTCAGTGGAATATTCCTTGGCCAAAAATTTAAGTACCGATTCATGGCATATAATAGCGCTCTTCCAAAAGTTTGCATTTATCGATGCAGTCGTACACCCACTTCGATGTAACTAGATGCTGTCCCTGGTACTCGCTTGGCCGTATTCTGGAGTTACTTTCCTCCCTGTAAAGAAATTGATTATCTGCGGTACCATTTTTTATTTCTGATATCCTTAGTGTATATTTGTCTAATGAAATTAGAAAAAAAGGGAGAACACTTAACTTCTGTATTGAATTATAAATACTGCATCAACTGCATTACTAAATTCATTTGACCAATATTCCAATTTAAAGAATTGATATATTATTCCAATAACAGTCCACTTTTGCAGAACTTACTTGTCTGACACAACAATATGTGTCACCCCAGACGAACTCTTCTTAACAAAACCACCATGAAGCCTAAGGGCAAGGGAGGCTAGTTCTTGCCCTTCCCCATCCATCTAAGAATAGAAAAGAAAAAAACATAAACAACACTATGTAAAGATGCTTGATGACTCATCATTCATTGCCATAACCTTTAATATTAGTGTTAAATAGTTTTGTAAAATGCTAGATTGTATTAAGGGGGCCATCCCAAATTGAGTTACCTAGCATATAATATAGGTACATGGATGAGGAAACTACCAAACGAGTATTAAAGCCCAGCTGTGGCTAGTTTTCGGTCGGTGATCACAAGACCCGCTAAACACCTGGGGAGGTAAACCACTAATGATCACCCAGGTACACCTATGTGGACTTTTGCTTGTTGCAATCGTGCATACGACATTTGATTATAAACGCGTTGATATATGAATGAATGTTCAAAAACACTTTTCTACCAATATCAGAAAAAATTTATATCAGTGATTCATGACAAAATATTTTGTGAAATATATCTAAAAAAGAAAAAAATAATTTTTGTGTCTTTTTACTCACAAAATATGCCTCCATCAAGACTTCCTAGTAATATGTTGTAGCTTATGAAGTGATCTGTACGTATACCAAGTACGAAGCATTAATGTTTGAAAATAGCAATATAAGTAAGAACTGAAATATTTCTGTTAGACGTCACTCAGCAGTCGATACATCATAGCATTACCGCTGTAAAGGGCAATTCAATACGAAGGTTACCTAAAAGTCAGATTTTTTAACTTTAGCTGTATAAGCGAGATACTGATTATTTCATATTGAAAATTATAGTACACAGTAATATCCACTCTGAAATAAAAACCTCGTTTCTGTGTGGAGTCTTCGTCTAGAGTTGAAAAAACTATCGCATCAGTTTCGTTCGTTTCCATTAAAAAATATTACGTTTAGACGTTACCGTAGGTCTTAAGTACCATAAATTTGCAAAACAGTTTGTAGGGATAACAAATATATTTTCTTTAGATATAAAAGTTGATGTAGGCCTACTAAATAAGGATGATTAATTTTTTAAAACTATGATCCCAACTCTCGTAATTTTTGTGCGATTCAAATGTAGTTAGTTGCTTTCACTAAAGCCTCGGAGTCCTGAAGCCATGTAAATGGACGATTTTCTAATATTGACTTTAATCAAAAAATATAAATTTTTTAAAGCTGAAGAAAAAAAACAGAACAAAAATAGAATTATACATCAACCAGTCCCATCCACAAAAAAAAAAAAAAAAATGGAAATTAAAAAATTAAGCTTGGGTAGATCTAACACAATAAGGGTATTAGTCAGAAAAAAAAAATGGAGTTGGGATGTACCAAAGAAGAAGAAAAAAAAGATAATTTTTTCGACTTTTTGAGGGGCATTCCCCTCCCAACGGAGAAAGGGGAGTGGCCCCAACCTCACTCCCTATGGGGGAGTGAGGTTAGAATCATATATGAGATGAAGCGCAATTCTGTACTCTATATCATGCATAAAGAATCAATGAGTTATCTCCAACCAATTTTTTTTTATGAAGAAATGAGTAGGGAAAGGTGGTCATTTCCTGGGACGACCCCCTTAAGTATCATGAGTACCATGTATATGTCAAACTAAAACTCACAAATACTGCTGTGACTGGACGGAACAATGCACGGGTTTCATCCATCTCGCACAATGCCTCATCAAATTCACGCATTTCCTCCACTGTGAGGGGAATACAGTCCTGTAACCAAAAAACAGTCACTGTATAAAAATCTGCACATCCATAATCAACAATATAACATTATGCCATTTAATTGTTAATTCTATACTTCCAGTTGCACTTCCCATATTTCTAACACAAACGCTTGAATATGTAAATATGCCTAAAATGTGTATATATTACCAGTCTGTTGGGTTGAAGTTTATTAGAACTTCAGAAAAATATAATAGTTTGTTTAAAATTTAGGGATGGTATATGTACAGTAACCAATAAATTAATAAGAATACGCTAAGCATAAGCAAATGAGAGAAGGAACCACAGGGGGTTTCATTGAAAAGTTCTTATGATCCATGCCTGTAAATGCAAATAAACATTCAAAACCTTGCCACACAAACCTCTTTCTTCATGTTCTCCATAACTCTTTTCAGTGTCTTCTCATCTGTGGGTTCATAATAGCTGTCACCAAATTTATCATACAACTCCTCCATGCGTTTCTTTTCTTTTTCCATGACGTGTATGGCATCTAAGGGACCCCATGGTACCAGGCAACACTTGGCTTTACAGGAAATGACCCATGATGGCCGAATAACATTATAAGTAGAAGTCGCTATGTAATTGTTGACACGAACAGACCTTGTGTCTGTGATGATACAATATGTGTTCCCTCCTGAAATGAGAGAAAAAATTATTTTAACAAATTTGAGATTCTTACTTTTGGTTCCTTATCATTCAAAAGCAGCAGCCTGAATATTTTTATTTCCCCACCCCCCCTCAAAAAAAAAAACATAAATCAAACCACCATTTCACCTATGACTGTTGAAAAATCCTTTATAAACCTAGTTCCATATTTTTAGCTGGTACAACTACATTCAGTGTGAAAATAAGTTATGTTTTTAAATATCACTACCTGGGTGCTGAGTCAAGGAACCACCATGCTCTACCACAATCTTCTCCAGCTGTTGCTTGGTGTAGTCTTCATCACCACTCATTATGCACATCTCCAGCCCACTGAACAATTCATCTTTCTGGAATGTTGAGTAAAGCCGGTAACATGACTGGAATTCTTTCCAAGTGGCACTCACACCCATGCCATAAATGTGCCTGCTCTAAGTTGTGCATCCTATACAGCTGTTTGCTTATTTGGCCATTACTGCAGTGGTTTAGGAGCTACAGCAGGTTAAAAATAACTTTTTAGACTCATTCAACTACACAATCATATATGTTGCAGCCAAACTGTTTCACATGCTTAAGCTATTGTATTTCAAAATCTTCCCTTGAGCAGTTGAATGCATGGTGCATAGCGTGTGGTTTATTTTGGTACATGAATCTCCCATCAGCACTGGATTAATTTTCTCTTACTTTCAAGATAAAACTGTTCACAGAAGACAGAGGACTCACTTTGACAACCCGCGATAAGTCAGCTGGACGGAAGTGCATAGGAAGGGATATCTGTTCCACTTTTGGCAATGCTTTACGCTTGAGTGGGGGTTCATCACTTATATCCAGAAGGTGCTTTGTGGCCAGCTTACCAGATGCTTCCTGGTGACAAAAAGAGTTTGAGAGAAAAAGGAAATACAAAAAAATCATTCTTCACTTTCTTTGTGCTGTTTATGACTTTCACAGTGACCTTTTGTCAGAGTATAAAGAGATGAATAAGCATATGAAGAGGAGTGAAGGCAAGAGTAGATACAGAAATACACAAAATCATATAGCTCAGGCTAAGTGTAAAAATCCTAAAGGTTTTGATATTTTATAAATTTTTTAGCAAACTCCATAAAAATATTAGAGCTTGATGTCAAATGACATTACTAAAAATATATCTTAATCCCTTCCCACTAGGTGACATGTACAAACATGCCATGGCTGTTGTGGACCAAGTAGTGGGTGGCATTGCATCTCAACCCTTCCCCGTCATCAGCTTATTGGATTGAGCTAGTTTTTCTCCAATGGTAGCAGCATCATTTATATGGTGAAACTTTTATGCAATAGCACCTATATTGATGGTAAACCACTTTTTAAATTTTTTAAATATCAAAATATAAGCTTTTAGGTGTCTATTGTTGCCTGCAAACTATCAAACACGGAAACTGTTGATGCACACTAACAACCCCGTGTTTATGGCCCACTAGCCAAATTTTTAACCCAGGGTTAATGGGTTAAAAAGAAAAAATCTGATTTACTAACCCTACTCATTTTTCCCATGTTATAAGAACCTGACCATATCACTTGGCCTTAAAAAGAGAAAAGAGAAACAAGACAAACCAGAAATAGAAGACACAAACACTGACATAAGGATAGCTCAGTAAAAAGGAAGAGAAAATGAAGACAGATGAATAAAATAAAGATTAGCTTTATCACTGAACAGAACACTTCTCAAGGTTTACCTTAACAAGTGAATCCAATTCTTTTGTTGTAAGTGTATCGTACCAAGGCTTGTCATAACGGACCTTCTCCACACGAGGGAACCTCAGAGTCACTCCAGTTTTGTACATTTCACTTTTTACTACCTCTGCAGCTCTTACCTGTATAGCAAGAAAATACAATTTTAAGGATACCCTATTATACAGGGTGTATGGCCAATTAAAAAGATGCAGAACTTGAGAAAACTCTACACAAAAGTTAACTATCACACACAAAAGATATTTACACTTGTACTCATATTCACTGTCGCATTAGCATCTAGGCTCATTATTTGTGTATTATATACTTTCGTTCTTATATTATCATCTCTCCTCACTAACATATAATCAACCTTTCACTATCTTAGTACCTGCACAATGCATGACTTTGCAGGATTAATCCACAGATCTGGCTTTTCCCTGGTCACAAAGACCCCAGGGGGAGCTTGCCCTTTCCTGGCATGGGGAGACAACTTAGCCACGAGGTCACCAAGTTCAGCAAAGGTGTAGCCTGACCCGACACGGCAGAATGAGTGGAATTCTGTAGGTTTTCCTCCTGTAGAAAGGATAGAGTGTGGAAGTGAGTTGCTTCAGTCTGGTATATAGGATTTGAACATTATAACGAAGCAATATCAAATGCATTGAACTAAATGAAGTGAATGGCTTCAGTTGGACACACTTCCAGAGACACAGGAATGAGATTTAGTAAGAGATCAGCAATCATTTAAGAATTACACAAATGAAGTGACTGATTTTCATTACAAATACTACCAGCATTAATTATATTATACTTTGACATTCAGTGACTCAAAGAATAATACAAAAAATTGCTCTGAGACCATAATCGCTAGTCATTCATGATTTATTGTTGATTAGTCATTATCACTTCAGACATAGTCCAAGCTTAGTTCCGTTCCTTTACTGCAGTCTCACTTCTATCATTATTTTCATTTTGTTAAAGAAAAATAAAACCAGTAAATTCATGTTTATACTTGCTTCACTGAGGAAACCCACATTCATTCTTACCATGAGAAAGTGAATATTCTACATTGTTTATAGCCATCTAAAATTAAGTCTCTGGTTGATGTATCTTTTTTTCTACAAAAGTTTAACAGAATCCAACTCTGCTTATTGTTAATGAACTAAAAAATTTCCTTAGGAACAAAATTATTGTAATCTCCATACTCTGTTACTTAATGGAATGAACAAAGTAGAAGTTTTCTTACAGTCACTGCAAACAACCTCAAGTGACATTTCATTATTATAATCATCTTTACTAACACTAGATTCACCAAAAGCTAATTATGTTCTGTCCTTCCATTTACAAATAAGAGAAAAATCCATGAAACACATAACAGATCACTTGCCAACTTCATTACTGGGGACAGCAACACCCAGCAGAAAATGAGAGAGCACCCCTTTGCGCCTTCCCGATCCATAATACGCTCCAATGATCAGTAGATCAAGTTCTGAGACCAAGGAGTCCACATACTGGTAAAAAAAAAAATTCAGAGCCCAGAAAAAATATATGATCGTGATAGTGATAATAGGAATGATAATATTAATAATGATACCTGTGAAAGTGATCATAATTTCAATAATAATGATAATGATGTCCATAATGATTATGAGGATAATAATGATGATGATAATGATTAAAAATAATAGATTGATTCAGATCCAAACTAATTAACATTAATCTGACTTATACCTCTGGCTTGACTTTGATCCAACCTCCTTTCCGAGAAGCAGGGCTGTAAATGGAATCTGGGTTCTTCAGCACAACTCCTTCTTCTCGATTGTCAATGGCTTCATTCAAGACTCTGATGACATCTTCCCTAAGAGGAATGGAGAGATGTTGTATCAGGGGGCTGCCTATGGTTTAAGCACTGGGTCCTATAAAAATAAAAGACATGAATTTGGCAGTTTGTGAGATCATAAGAAGAGGAAATACCATTGATAATAAAATATCCGGGCAAATGTCTATAATGTAAACTTACGTGTAGCTGGCAAAGAAAGGATTTAAGTCTGGACTGAAAAGATTAATTCTTTTATGCTGAAGACTCACAGTGTTTGTTTAATATAAAAATAGTAAAAGTAAAATTTGCTCACACCTGCCAGCAGGAGGAACTTTGATTTATAGTCACTTTATTTTCATCAATTCAATTATTCTTAATCTTGTTGCTCTTTCCTCTTACTTTATCTGTTGGCTTCCATGGCCAACAGATAATTAAAAACTTCATTCCTCAAGCAACCTTAACCCATCGCAGACGGGTAAAATTTTTGGCAAGTGGACGTATGCACAGGCTTGTTGGCACGCACCGGTAGTTTCCCCTCTTTGCGCCCGGCTCGATCGGTTGTTTGCGAGCGACATTTAGCACCTAAAAGCTTTTATTTTGCTAAAATTTATAAAAATATTAAAATTTTGAAGGTTTACCTTCATATATGTGCCATTGCCTAAAATCTTTACCATATAAATGAAGCCGCTACTATCGGAGAAAAACAACTTCCGTCCGACAAGCCAGTAGCGTGGGAATGGGCATGACATGATGCCCCCCGGTGTTCAGTCCACAACAGCCACAGCATGTACGTACATGCCACCCGGCAGCAACGGGTTAACAAGAGTAACAACAGCTTCACCATGAAATGAACATCTTACATACTTTGTCGTGACCTCCACCTTTGCAGAGAACTGGATTCTTCCCTCTAATGGTATGAGCACAGTCTTCAGCTTTTCAAGCCTCTCCGACAGAGGCAAATTAGTCAACACCTGTAATCATCAAAAGGTTCAAAGTAGAAAATAACCAACTGATTCTCTGATTGTCACATTTTCAGAATTCCATGACACTGTATTACACTGTAACTTACACATTGCAAACTTATTGATCCTGATTTGTAATTTTCCCAACGTCTGGTATTATCTTAGTTATATAGGTGACACCAAAATTACAACAATGCAATCTTCAAATATTTAAGCCCTTCATTCTTAAATACAAATAACACTACCTGGCCATTCAGGTAAATGATGTCAAAGAGGACAAGGCAAACCTGCAAGTCCCCATCTTCTTTTAGATTTTTGACATCCAAATGTTCTCCTGTAATAGCAAAAAAATAATAAGTAATATCAGTTTATATACTGTGAACTATGATCACAGATTAAGAAGTTATATGTAACATTTGTAAACCCTCATACCTCTGCTGTACCTTGGTATGATGAAAAGTTGTTCAGTAACATGTGTCAGAAACACTAACTTTATGATGTAGAAGAATATTTTATTTTGAATTTATAATAAAATGTTTTAAAATCTTTTAACCCTTCAACAGCTTGAGCATATAGTCCATTTACGCTATTGAGTGGCACATTTGCAGTTGGCAATTCCTAATGTTGCTGTTCACCACAAGGCAACTTCCTACATAACTAATAGTTACAGTTAACCCCTCAGATCCAGATGTTTCACTACATGCACATGGCACAAAATACAGATATTAGGTTTACTTGAGCAGCCGCTTTGATGGGTGTGTGGTTTGTAGGCAAGAGGCTGAAAACACTCATGTGCAGTGACAAAACTTCATCACTTTGCAAAGTTAATTTCTCGTTTTCTGCATGAGCATATTTAGCTTTTTTGCCATTTTTCCAATGTCTATATTTGTCATTTGGTTTGCTTCATCCAGATGGTAATAAACTGTTTTCCTTGCACAGACTCCATATCCTTTCTATTAGCAGTCCATAATTTTGTACAATAATAATAACATGTAACAGTTTGTGTCAGCTTTTAATTTTTTCATAATCTTCAATTTTCTGTAATACAACTTACATTGCCAGTCACAGTGGGTATGAATAAGATCCTGTGCATGGATTCAAAGTCCTCCATGGAGCTGGTGCTTTTCCAGTCATGTTTAATGGGTGGTACATTCCGTACTCGTTCATCGATGCAAATAATGCAAAAGTCCCTTTCTAAATGCCCACTGATTCTAATCACAGGCCTCATTTGGCCTGTAGGATGTTCTAAACATTCATCAATGTGACAAATTACTTGTGGCTCTCTGATTTCCTAAATATTGAGCAGGGTGCCATAAAAATCATTTCATTCCAACAATTCCAGTTAAAGTGTCCTGGCCTAGACATCTATAGCAATAATAGTCTGCAAAAAGTTAAATTTTTAAAAAGTTATAGTCTGCTTTTATTAGAAAATAATGATTTCAAACTGCCAGCTAGAGAGAAATGTCTGTGTCCTACAAGTTTTATATTCTTTTCATCTGTGTTTCTTGACTATAAAAATAAGAAATAACAAATCAAAATCTGGTTTTCTATCAATTCTGTCTTCACCCTATTATATCAGGTACATTAGTCACCAGAAATAACTATTTGACTATTCACTTTCATGAGTACTTATACAGTGCTGTAACCAATCAGAAATAATATACAGGCAATTTAAAAGTTTTGAATATGGTGCAGTCCAATTAAGCTAGAAGACAGTAGTTTTCTTGTGGGTGGCAAAGTACCAACCTACCTACCGCTGTGCCATATCTCCAGGACTTGGGCAACCATGGACTTCCATCACCTTCTGTCTCTTGTGGCTCTGACGAACTGTCCACCTGTCACATTCCCTCGTGGCAGTTTCACCAATCCATCCAAATACTTCACACTTTGTCTTCCTCTCCCCCTGGTACCCTCCACCATTCCCATTACCATCAGATTCTCTAGCTCCTCTCTCCTCATTGCATGACCAAAAAATCCCTGATATTCCTCATTACAACTTCTCCATAAAACGAAAACAAATCCGGAGATAATACACAACCCTGCCTAACACCTCTTGTGATGCTCTGCCACTCTGATTCTTCTCCATTTACTTTTACACATGCCTTTTGTGTCCAGCGCAGATTCTTTATCATACTGAGTTCTCTTCTGTTCACCCAATGCTTTTCAATATTTCTATTAAGTCTTCATATCTGACTCTGTCAAAGACTTTTTCATTGTCAATAAAGCAGGTATACAGGTGTCTTTGTTTCTCTATCACCCTCTTAGACATTGTTCTCCACATAAAATTGCGTTACTAGTACCTTTCCCCTCCACAAATCCACATTCTTCATCCGAGACTTTACTTCTTATTCTGCCATGTAATTGTTTGAGTATAACTTTCAGTATGATATTTGTTATTTGACTCATGATACTGATAGTTTTGTGCTTTTCGCAGTACAGTGTTCCGCTTACTTTTGCTATTGCTATAAATACAGATTTACACATTTGTTCGGTTATTTGTCCTAAATTATAAACTTTGTTCGCTATCTCTGTGATACTCTTTACAGCCATATTACCAATTGCTTGAACATTTTGATCGTAACACTGTCACTTCCTGCCACCTTTCCTCTCTTCATGTCATTCATTGCCCACCTTACTTTACTCTCAAGAATTTCTGGGCCTTCATTTCCTTCGGATGTGTCACATATCTCTGGTCTCTCATCCAAAAATAGCTCATTTACATATTCACTCCATCTTTGTCCCACCTCCTTTGCATCCATCACGACTGTCCGATCTTTATTTTTCACTGCACCGATTTTATTCCACTTACGTTTCTGAGTTACTTCTTTTATCTTGCCATATTTTGAATGTTAATTCGTTCTGCATAGTTCCTCCACCTCTTCACACTGCTCATTTAGTCATTTTTCCTTTCTTCTGGTACATTCCCAATGTATCTCTGTATTCTTAATCCTATATTGTACTTCGTCTCAGCCTTTTAAATGTCTCCTATCGTCTATCATGTCAAAAATCTCGTCCATCATCCATGGTTTCTTCCTTTTTCGCCTACGTTCTGGTATAGCAACTTCTACTCCTTTTTGTATTGCTTTTGCCAAAATGTTCCATTGCTCCTCAGCCCCTTCACTCGCTGACTCATTCTCTAATACTGCATACCAATTCCGGACTTCCACCGCATACCCATCTGTCATTATAGCATCTTTTCCCACTAGGTCAGTACTTTTCCTTGGTTTAATTTCTGGCTTTCTTAACTGTTTAAGCTCAAGTTTAACTGTTGCAAAGTACAATATCCAAATAATCAGCCTATCTAGTGAAGGATGGAGAGGCAGACATCATATCATATTAAAACAGTTCCAATAACTTATTACAGTAATTCAAGATGAATAAACTCATTAATTAGTTGACTAATTTCACTATAACAATTACCTGTAATGAGGAAAGCACTTACAGAACAGTCATTATAGGTTCCTACCTTTGCTAACAATAGCACCATGTTTCTTGCTCCATCCCACCATCTCCCCATCAAGGATAATGTCTTTCACATGGGGAAGGAACTGGCCATGGAGGTGTGGTGTAAAGAGGCCACTGTTTGGGTCACCTCCAAAATTGTTGGTGAATTCAAAGCCATTTCTGAAATAATATGCAATTTTTCTACTTTTCTTTTTCTTTATAAAAATTCAATACCCAATAAAGAGCAAATATTAAGTATGCAAATATCTCTAAATCTATTTAACTATCATTTCTTCAATAATTGGTAACTAATGAACCTGTAAACAATGCATGAGTAAATGAGATTGACTTTCTTGACTTTTGTGTTCCGAGTAATGATGAATCCCTTGCTTGTTGAGTAGAAGTTCAAACAAATTAGTAAGCTTAAAGAAATAATAAATAAATGAATGAAGAAAATAAATAAATTTTTAAAAGAGGAACTACGGCATACCGTGAAAAGTACTTGTAGGAATTTTTATTCTTGTGAATCTGGGACCGTTCCCCATCATATTTGGTTTCAGCATAGTAAGTCTTATGGTCCATCTGTGTGTCCACTTTCTCCAGCACTGCACGTTCAGCCAGCATGGGACGGAAGGCAGAAAAGAGGGACACCTCGATTTCATGGAGACGAACAGTAGGATCTCGCAGAGTTTTACATACCTGTCAATTATTTTTAGTTTTGAAAAAATATATAGCACAGAGGACTTTTGGTGCTGTTCACAGTCTCCAAGATTTTCATAGAGAGTTGATGTTGACCAATATCACAAGGAAATCTGTGACTAGCAATGGTTGGCAACTGCTCCCAGACATTCAACTACACAAATAAAGGAGTGGTTTTATGATTG